AGTTTTCATATGTTAATTAAAAACAAAACAAAAGGACATGCCAGGCAGATATTTATATCCTATACAGTTTTCATATGTTAATTACAAACAAAACAAAAGGACATGCCAGGCAGATATTTATATCCTATACAGTTTTCATATGTTAATTAAAAACAAAACAAAAGGACATGCCAGGCAGATATTTATATCCTATACAGTTTTCATATGTTAATTAAAAACAAAACAAAAGGACATGCCAGGCAGATATTTATATCCTATACAGTTTTCATATGTTAATTAAAATTGTTTCGTTTTATTTAACTTCTTTGATAAAGATGAAAGCAATGTCGTATATATATATATAAAGTTTAACATTAGAGAACCATTTTATTGCTCATATGAACTATAAAGTCAAGATAATATTTATAAATTATGGTTTCGGTTGTTAGTTTTATGTATTTTGATATCTGCATACTAGGAACTAAGAATTTCGTAATGATTCCTGTCAAAACTTTTCTTTGTAAAATTCTGCCTTTCTTTTAATATCATGCGATAAAATCCTGAAACAATCAATTTTTAATAGTTTAGATGAATAATTAAGTAATGCGTAATTTGATTTTCAAGTTTTTTATTACACTGGAAGATAATTTAAATATTTCTAGTTTTCTTAATATTAATCATATCTATGTAGGTTATCATTTGTTTGGATTAACGTGCGCGTGTTAATTATTTTTTTAATTCGTAATTTGAAAGAGATACGTTTAGCTGATTTCTAACTATATAATTATCTTGAAATTTAATCAACAGTTTCTTAAGAAAAATGTTCAATCTTCGCACACGAATCTAAATGTTGGTTTAAAGAACTCGGTAATGATGTCCAATAAGAGCTCTGTTTGTTCCGCGTGCTTTAATCTTTGTTCTAAACCTGTAAGACATAATTTGCTGAGAGGCTGGACATTGTTTTTCAACACAAAAACAAATCCTGTTATCGCCAAAACGTTTATACGAATAACCCAAGTGTAACGTCACTAACGAAATTTTGAGTTGTTTTAAGATGATCCACAAATATATATATTTCATAAAATGAAAACGGTGAAAATTTATCCGTTTAATATATTTTTTCGTTATAATTTTAAGTGCATTATCACATATCGTATAAGAAAGTAATAACCAAATATAAACTTAATTAAACTTTCTTTAAGCAAAGAATAAGGTTTTTTTTTTTGAAAAAATATATATAAATTTTCATTTGTTTAGGATAATGTTTTTTCCCACAGAAAATAAATGGCGTAATCGTGTGAATTCGCGGATTCGTGAAGACTGAGATTTCGTACTAATGGATGTAATGAGACAGAGCGAGTGAAAAATAGCGTCTCTGGTTGCGTGTAAATACCATTTGTAATTACTTGAGATTTCGATCGTTATCTGTATTATTCTCAAGTTACTTGTTATTTGCGGTTCATATTTCATACTTCCCATGTCTTATTGTGAATTCAGACCCATTCTTTCTATCCCTAAGCCCCGGTAAATATATCGAATTAGAAAAAAAACAAACAAAATTTGCATTTATATTGCGTGGAAAGAAATTGATCTGCTCTGGAATCCTAAAGTATTCGAAAATTTGTTGGTTTAGACAATAATTTCTTCCTTCAAGAAAATGAAAAGAGGAATGTCATTGAGAAGATAATATTGTTTTTCTTTAGATCCTCCAGAGAATATTACCATGTCTACTTTCCATCTGGATGTTGTGGAGGGAGAAGTGCCAGACAAGATTAAATGTACCGCGGACTCTTGGCCTCCTAGCGAGTATATTTGGAAATTCTCCAACTTAGTCATAGCGGATACGTCAGAACTCTTCCTTAATTATAGTATTCCCCGGGAGAGGGCAGGCTGGTATAAATGTGTGGCTTCCAACAGACACGGCCAGAAATCTATTGAAACCTACATCAATGTTATGTGTAAGTGATAAATCAAAAAACGTGACTTGTTTTCAAAGCAGTCACAAGTCTAGCTAAAAGTAGCCTTTATATATTGAAAAATAATTAATTATTTTTTTTTCGAAATAATGCAAGACAGTTACATTGTGTCTTTATAAGCAATTCATTAAAATACGAAGTGAATTAAGCTCGATTGGATTTTAGTTAGAATTACTAATCTTCTAAGAAAATCCTTATTGGTTGCAATATAAAAAAACAAAAAACAATTTGCTTCAAAGGTCGAGGTTACAGTTGTAAACAACTATTCATACAAAGAGTAAATTTCTACCAGAATTGTTGACTTGTAATATTATGTTTAGTTTCGGTAATAGTAAACTTTTCATGCATTGAAGTTTTACGGTTCAATAACATTTCGAATAAATTGTTAACTTGAATGTTTTTGCACCAGAAAGTTTTTCCTTAATACATTCAACATATGGAAAAACCTGACAGATCTCCTGATTATAATTTGTTTCCATAATGAAGTCACATGAGAAAAATTAATATTTTGTATAGTAATAATTATTTTATTTTATATATTCAATAACCCAAAAATAAAAAAAGATATAAGTGTTTAATTTTGTGTGGCTAATGAACTGTTTAGAGAAATATAGATTGAGATTTTTTTTAAGCTTCTTCACCATTCATGATTTTAATATGCTTATCACTAAATGATTAAATGGAAACACTCGACATAAAAAGGAGGTCCGGCATGGCCAGGTGGTTAAGGCACTCGACACACAATCTGAGGGTCGCAGGTTCGAATCCCTGTCACACCATGTTCGCCCTTTCAGCCGTGGGGACGTTATAATGTGACGGTCAATCCCACTATTCGTTGGTAAAAGAGTAGCCCAAGAGTTAGCGGTTGGTGGTGATGACTAGCTGCCTTCCCTTTAGTCTTACACTGCTAAATTAGGGACGGCTAGCGCAGATAGCTCTCGTGTAGCTTTGCGCGAAATTCAAAAACAAACATAAAAAGGAGAAAAATTGAAACTTAGGAAGAACGATAAAGAGTAAATATTTTACCTAAAACACATAATCAAGAATGAAAAACGTAACTCTGTATATGAATATAAAGCAAATGCCCTTTCAAAGCCGAAATGACGGTTTGTGCTTGATAGAGTTAAACACGTTGATAACGACAGTTTTTTACCCCGAATATATATATATGCTTTTGGATAATTAGAAAAATTAACCTAGAAAAGTTAGTATAATAAGTTCTTTAAAATCCTCATTTCTATAAAAACATGTTCTTCTATCAAATAAAATATAAACATTATCAATTTTGTTTCTTTTGATTTACGGTACAAAGCTACAACTACAACCACAGCTAGTCAACTGACATTCATTATACACTACACAAAGCATTTACAGAGAGGTATTGTTATCATATTGTTCAAAATATAACATTTTATTTAATTTATATCTATTTATATGCAATTTATGGAAAAACTATTAATTGAATTTATTGATTATTTATTACTTGCGATTTTATTTTTGGCTGATTGGGGATGGGTGGGTGGTTGGGGTTGGGGGCAGAAAAGCTATAATTTTTTGAGACAATATGCTCTGAACAAACAGTTTGCCCAAGAGAACCTTTTTGTTATGATTTTTTTTCCATGCATGATCAACTAGAATTGGAAAAGTATACACATTTTTAAGGGTGATATCTACAGCTATAGAATGTATTAACTTGGTAACTGGGTTGATTATATACTTTTATCAGACTAGGGTGTGTATTTAAAGTAAACTATTGGAAAGTGAAGGTACATTGATACAACTGTAATTGTTCCAATTTAAATATTTTTGGCTTTTGGTTGAAATCTTAAACTTTATATTTTAAACGTGAAAAATATTTTAAAATGTAAAATTTTGTACCTTGAAAGTGTGTACGTTATCCAATCGAGTTAAATGAATGGGTTAGTTAAAGTTCCACAAAAAAAAAAAAGCTTATTTCATGCAGGACCGCTGAATATGAGTGCTATAATATAACTAGTATATTTCTTGTGGGTGTAAAGTTTCATTATTTTCTTTATAATTCTAGATGATTAAGGAATTTGAAATTCCCGAGTCACCAACATTGCACACATAAAACACAGATGTTCAGTACGTTACATTAAAACGATTTCGAATGTGCTATTCAGCATTTCTTGTGATAACCACGGCCGAAGTGAAATCTCGGTGGAATGGAATGTATCAAAACTACACTTTGACATTGTTCGTAGATAATGTAATACCACCGAAAACCGATCACTTTTGGGGTAGATATGTAACAGCTCTTTCCGACGACCCCCCCCCCCGTTGGGTAGTGCTTTATGCTTAACTTTAAACAAACAAACAAACTTTCTGACACAAAGTATTCATTATAATAATATACTTGTAAATTGAAAAGCAAAGTTTTATATGCATAATGGTGTGGTATATCTTTGGGTTTGGTTTGGTTGGTTATGAATTCCTAGCAAACCTACACCGGGGCTATCTGCGCTAGCCGTCCCTGCTAGTTTAGCAGTAAAAGACTAAAGGGAATGCAGCTAGTCATCACCACCCACCGCCAGCTCTTGGGCTACTCTTTTACCAACGAATAGTGGAATTGACCGTCATTTTATAACTCCTCCCCACGGCTGAAAGGGCAAGCTAGTTTGGTGGGACGGGGATTCGTACTCGCGACCCTCAGATTGCAAGTCAAGCGCCCTAAGCAGTCTGGCCATGCCGGGCCTTTTTTTTAAAATAAAAAGCCACAATACCCTATCTACTGTATCCACCACAGAGAATCGAACCTTGGCTTTTTAGTGTTTTAAGTCAGTAAACTTATCGCTGCCCCACTGAAGGACCTTATTTTGGAGATAACATGTTGCATGCTTCCACAGAACATTGGTTTTTTTTCTTCAAAGTATTCATACACTCATATGACAAAATATGTTCAGATCGAGGATTTAGAATTTCCAAGAGAAGAACATTTCTTGTACTTAATGGCATTCGAAAACAAAGGGAAATTGTTCAACTTGGTGCACCAGGACCATTGAAAAAGAGACCTGCAACAAGTCGTACTCCTGCTGTGGTAAGTAATTGTAGCGTCTTAGAACAGGAGATAATCTACGAACACAAAGATCAGTAGCAAAAGCAGTCTGCGTGCCCCAGGCAATAGTACGCAACATCATCAAGAAGGATCTGGAAACGAAGCCAACAGGGTATGGGCTCAACAAGATATGGCATTAAGTCATATTCCCCGTTTAACAGTCGCATACCTCAAACAGCTGAAACGGGTATCTGTACAATTTCAGACGAAGACAACGTGATCAATTCATTAGGGCAGCGTTTAAAGATTCCTGTGTGATCGGACTATTGAAGCGTGTACTGGGAAAGCGTCGTCTTCGTACACTATGTGGATTAGGGAAAGCCTGCAGGGAACAGTTGTGAGAGTTAGACATGACATCCTTACGACAGAGCCATTTGCTATGGAACTACGCTGAAGGATTATTGTCAATATGCACACTCGTCAGAGAGAACATGGTCGGACGTGATAGCATGGCTTATAATGACGTGATGAGGCCTCCAAATCGTTTTAATCTAACGTACTCAACCCTCTGTAATAATAAAAGCAAATAATCAGCTGAAACTAAACTCATAATTATTGTATTAGACATAAATTATTGACAGTTACCTGTTATTTACTTGTTAATTATCTGATTGAGATGAAAGAGATGTAAAACAAGTTGTCGAAAAAACATCATTATGTCGTAATTACCACTAATATTCTATCTATTTCACTAAAGTTTCACTATCACGTTTTATTTCGCAGATAAACCTGAATGCATATTGTACGAAAGGAAGAACAACAAGAAACAGACAACTTTGGTATGTGAGGTTCAAGCAAATCCATCCACTGTTAACTTCACGTGGATGAAGGAGAACCAGACATTTGAAGAATTAGTAGTGTCTCGTGGAACACGAAGTATAATGACGGTGCCTGGAAATACCCCAAAATACCTCGGCACGTACCACTGCATAGCAAACAACTCTGTTGGCGAATCGGTTCCTTGTTCGTTTGAAGTTACAGGCGTGATTGGTGAGAGAACAGTAACTGTTTGTGGCTGTGTTTATGTAAATACACTCGTTAATGTAGACATACATACTTGTAGATCCATTAAAAAGATTCACTGAAGTAACAAGGATTCTCCTTATGTTAGAGCAACAGAATTTTTGGGAATATAAAAGATAACACGTTTTTTAGATCCATTAAAGTATTAGAACTTTCAAAATCCATTAACGTGAAAGAAGGTTTAACTGCATCCTGAAGATATAGTTACTGTATCCTAATAATTGATAAAATCGTTTGTGGAAAATAGAGGATTTGGTTTCTAGATGAAATGAAGCAATGACAAGTGTTCGAGAATAACAGAATTGGTTCTTTGAGACAACTAAATCCAGGAAGTTAGTGGGAAAGTAGGAGACTACGGATTATAGTGATTTCAGTTTATAAAATTTGAAAATGTCAGCTATTCATTTTAAACACTTAGGAACGGGTTCCTAAGTATGTTGAAGTGTTAGAAGATTTTGGTATACTAAGTATGTTGAAGTGATAGAAGATTTTGGTATACTAAGTATGTTGAGGTGATAGAAGATTTTGGTATACTAAGTATGTTGAGGTGATAGAAGATTTTGGTATACTAAGTATGTTGAAGTGATAGAAGATTTTTGGTATACTAAGTATGTTGAAGTGATAGAAGATTTTGGTATACTAAGTATGTTGAAGTGATAGAATATTTTGGTATACTAAGTATGTTGAGGTGATAGAAGATTTTGGTATACTAAGTATGTTGAGGTGATAGAAGATTTTGGTACACTAAGTATGTTGAGGTGATAGAAGATTTTGGTATACTAAGTATGTTGAGGTGATAGAAGATTTTGGTATACTAAGTATGTTGAAGTGATAGAAGATTTTGGTATACTAAGTATGTTGAGGTGATAGAGATTTTGGTATACTAAGTATGATGAAGTGATAGAAGATTTTGGTATACTAAGTTTGTTGAGATGGTAGATTATTTTGGTTTACTAAGTATGTTGAAGTGATAGAATATTTTGGTATACTAAGATTGTTGAAGTGATAGAATATTTTGGTATACTAAGTGTGTTGAGGTGATAGAAGATTTTGGTATACTAAGTATGTTGAAGTGATAGAAGATTTGGGTATATTGGGTAATTTTAACGAAAAACTTCAAAACGTTTCTGTGTTTTTGAAAATTAAAGATACATGATCCTAAAGAATGCATCCTTGTTGATAATGATAAAAGAACAGATTTAGTGTGTATGTCTGTGTTTGTAGACTTCTAAAGTGTAAGACAAGGTTGTGTTTTTGTGTGAAGCTTAGTGTAAAGTCGATTGTTATCCACTGGATTTATAACGGTTTGCAAAATGTAGAGCATAGAGTGTAAAATCTTCTTAAGAAACAAAAAACGTTATTAAAGACACAACTGGCTTAGATACAAGTGTCGTTTGTCGCAATATGCTTCTTTAATCAATGAAATTAAGATCATACGATAACGACATTTCGGTTTTCACAAGCTGTGATATAACCTGTTCTGTGCCTGTATCAACATTGTGATAGCATCAGACATTTAAAGAAGTGACCAATGCATATTTTAATATGAAACCACAAACGGTTGAAAAATTTCGGGAAGACAAAAGTGTGTTTCTTTTCAATAAAATTTATTATGAATTACCATATAGTAAAACGATAAATCGAATGTGTGGTTTTGTTTATTTTGTTTATCGTAATGTACGTGTTCGAATGTGTGGTTTTTGTTTATTTTTTTTATCGTAATGTACGTGTTCGAATGTGTGGTTTTGTTTATTTTTTTTATCGTAATGTACGTGTTCGAATGTGTGGTTTTGTTTATTTTTTTTATCGTAATGTACGTGTATATTAATTCCAGGCACTGCTGGTTGGGTACCTGACTTTGGTGATGAGAACGTCATCATCGTTGCTGCTGTTGTTGCTGCAGTTGTGGTAGTCTTCATTATTGTTGTGCTCGTTGTCATAATGGTGGTGAAAAGAAGGAGAATGCGCAGTATGTACTTTTTATCATATTCTTCTATAAATGTTATGTTTTTGTTATGGTAAGGATTTTTTTTTTTCGTAACTGAAGCTTTATATATAAAAATAAAGTGATGTGATACCAGAGATGTGGAACTTCACAAGTTGTGTAAAAACATACAATCTAGTAGACACACACAGATGCATATATATATCAAGTATATTAATTCAGAGCTTCAATTACCAACATTATACCATATATAAAAACATGTTCGACGAGAAAATAAGAACAACAAAAAACAAAAGCCAGAAATTGAGGTCTTCCGAGAAAAGCTCCAAAAAAGGACGAAACATGTTTTGTAGAAATGATCAATTCCTTTATTCCTAGAGATTGGATCTACAATTACTCTCTGCCAGCCACCAATCTTTCCGAGGGACAAAAATGATTGAAACAAAACTCATTAGAATAGCATTGAGATAAAGTAGACGAGAGAGATATATATACTGCAATTTTAGCATAGGTTGACAATTTGTAATGTTCAGGATACATTTTAATGTAGTTCTTTTATTGTCTTTGTTGAGGTCGTAGAAAAAGCAAAAAAGTTATATATATATATATATACTTATTGGTTTTCATATTTTGGGTGCCATTTCTATATTAGGCTTAAGGTAGAGTCGAAATCAGTATCAAAAGATGATACGTTTGTAGCGAATCAATTAAACCATACCTGAAAGAAGTTTTTTTTTATATTAGTTTTCGTGGTTGTGATACGATTCTTTTTAAAAAAGAAAATACGCGGCGAAAATTCAACTTATATCTGCTATATATATCAGATTATAATACTCTTAAAGTTAACAATCCATACGCCATGTAGATATTATACTAAAAGGCAATAACTACCTTATTGCTTGACTTGAGTTGATGGGAGTAGTATCTCACGCGAAAGTAGAACACATACAAAGGCAACAACTACCTTATTGCTTGACTTAAGTTGATAGGAGTAGTATCTCACGCGAAAGTAGAACACATACAAAGGCAACAACTACCTTATTGCTTGACTTGAGTTGATGGGAGCAGTATCTCACGCGAAAGTAGAACACATACAAAGGCAACAACTACCTTATTGCTTGACTTGAGTTGATGGGAGTAGTATCTCACGCGAAAGTAGAACAAACACAGCAGTATTTATGTTCGCAAACGGTATATAAGGAATGAAATTAAAAAGCTTGAAATTAGGAGCATAATTTTATGTTTTTTGTTTTTTTTAGAATAAAGGCGCATTGTGCTATCTGCTGTGTTTCACTGCGGAAAATCGAACTTTGTAAGCCCGTATAACTTACCGCTGTCCCACCGGAGGAGCCCGGCATGGTCAGGTGGTTAGGTGGCTCGACTCGCAGTCTGCGGGTCGCGGGTTCGAATCCCCGTCCCACCAAACATACTCGCCATTTCAGTCGTGGGGGCGTTATAATGTGACGGTCAATCCCACTATTCGTTGGTAAAAAGAGTAGCCCCATAGTGGGTGGTGATGACTAGCTGCCTTCCCTCTAGTCTTACACTGCTAAATTAGGAACGGCTAGCGCAGATTGCCCTCGTGTAGCTTTGCGCGAAATTCCAAACAAACAAACCCACCGGAGGACTAGGAACATAAGCACGTCAAGCTCCACATCCAAAACACCATTCACTCCCTGCAGCCAGATATTAGTACACAGTTATTGAAAATGAAACAGATGTTTTCATTATTATTCATCTCCACGTATATGATTTGGAATTTTTTTGTTGTCAGTAGCTTTAGACTGGTTCCGTGAAACTTAAGAAACAACAAAGTATTTATGAAAGGCATAGCTTCATGCACGAGTTCGTGTATTTGTTTGTAGTTAAGCTCAAAGCTCATAATAGGTTATCTCTGCTGTGCCTACAATGGGGTGTCGAAACCCGATTTGTAGCGTTATAAGCCTTCAGACTTAACTCTGTCCCACTGGGGGTGGGGGGTGGCGTTTGTGTAACTGAGGATGTTTACATGAATATTATACAAGAATAAACGCCACCATTAATTTTCTCAACATAATACGTTTTTTTTTTTTTTTTACAAAACATATTAGGATAATAATTAAATCACACAATACATTTGACATTCTAATTTAATATACACAAAGAATCTTTATCGGATAGAGTTTGTGTTATGTTAAGTAGTACTCAGACATGCCTATAAGAATGAATATTCTCTTATATCAGTTATGATTCATTTGGCTGTAATCAGAAACCCAAAGAAACGTTTCTTTATTGTTGTTTAATTATGGGACACTTTACGTTATTTATCTTAATCTGTGAACTATGCTCTCAAGCTATCGTGCGAAGAATGGATCATTCTAGGTAAGGAATAGTCTGGGAAAAACAAATTAGAAATTATAATTTATAACATCGCCTGAATGGTAAAATGGAGTAAGTAATTAGTTGTTTAATTAAAATCTTTGAAACAAGAAAAGCAGAGACTACCTTGTTTGAATATAAAGTTTTGGATAAAACGTTAGTAAACTATGACTGATATTTTAAGACAGACATTGCTAAGCTATACCCAATTAACTTCGGGAAACTTCTGTCGAACTTAGAAGAGAGTGAAAAACAAAATATGACAAGTAAATACGTTCTGAGAAACTATTCTAATCATTTTGTCACAAAGATACGGTGAGGAAGCAATAAGTTGAGTAGAAGTGGAACAGTTCTCGCAAAATGAAAGCTCTTGCATACACATTGTCTGCCTTAATAAAAATAGGATAATTACAAAGACGTTCGCAGAATGTCAACGAATCAAGCTATATTACCCAAGTGTATCGAAGTGCGTCACATTTTAGAGCAAAACCAATTCACACACTGTTTTTGAAACTTTGTTTTTTTTGTCAACGGAACACTTCAGATTACACTTTCTTGTCTCCAGTAAGCTGCGCCTTAATAACTATCATAATATATCTTATTTTTCCATCCTTCTTAGGTTAATGAAATGCATCATTTCACCTTATTTCTTATTTAAAAATAAAGCTACGTTTAATTAAAATTTTTTTTAGTTGTCATTTTGGCCAAAAGTTCTTTATTAAAACTTTTGTTTTTGTTCCGAGTCATCTTAACATTAGAAAGTTAATGCAATTTAATATAAATGCATAAGGGGCCCATACCTGTATTTTTTTTTCTTTTAGATGACCGAATACATATTAAAGATATAAAAAAAATGGAATATTTCGACTTTCTTATTTTATTACTTCTTAGTTTAAATATTAGATCTCTCTGTGAGAATCATCACAAACCTTCATTATATTGCATGAATTTGGATACTTTATCTGTTACTGTGCGACTTTTTTTTTACTTTTAATTTGTTGCTCACTTCACCACTGAGGAATTCTAGGCTATTGATAAGATACGCATATGGAAACTTTAAGTTTTGTTCTTATTCTTGACTTTTTGGGTAGTAATTATTCAAACGTGGAAGAAATTGACTTTTTTATGTTCTGTGAAATGAGACGTAACTCGAAATATTCAAGAAATTCGGACTGAAACCATTTCAATTTCTGGATGGGAGAAATCTGTGGCGACTAATTAAGGATTATATACGGGATCTGTGGCGACTAATTAAGGATTATGTACGGGATCTGTGGCGACTAATTAAGGATTATATACGGGATCTGTGGTGACTAATTAAGGATTATGTACGGGATCTGTGGCGACTAATTAAGGATTATATACGGGATCTGTGGCGACTAATTAAGGATTATATACGGGATCTGTGGCGACTAATTAAGGATTATGTACGGGATCTGTGGCGACTAATTAAGGATTATATACGGGATCTGTGGCGACTAATTAAGGATTATGTACGGGATCTGTGGCGACTAATTAAGGATTATGTACGGGATCTGTGGCAACTAATTAAGGATTATATAAGGGTGAGCTAATACGAAACTAAACACTGAATTTAAGTCTTTTTCGGTACACTATATAGTTGAAACAATTAAGTGGATTATAAATTGGTAATCCATTCCTCATATTTTGTTTCCGTCGTTAGAAAGAAATGTAATGTTTAATTTTTGCAAAATACAAGCTGTTTATTTTTTGTTTGTAAGAAACGTAAAATTAATTCTTAATGAATATATTTACAAATACGTCAATTAAAACTAAAAGATATTGCTAGTTTGTAAGACAGATCTTTCAAAAAGTACTCTGTCATCATTGAGTTTCCTTCAACGTGGATGACTGCGTTGCAGACAATTAGCTATAGATTTATCAAATACCACTAATAATAATACTAGTATAACTATCATAGGCCCTAATATACCTGAGGTAATACTAGTACAGCTATAAAATAAAAATGGTGTTAATCAAGTAGCAATAGGTTAGCTGTGGAATAGAAAGGGCATACTGTTGTCGGAACACTAGTATAGCTCTTCAAGAGTATAAACTATATTAATAAATGTACAACGTTTTGTCATCATCATGATGACAAAACTTGTCGAAACGTTGTACATTTGCTGTTATGTTAAACGTATATTAACGTTTTTCTTCATTATCCATTCAAGCCGTCTCCAACCATTATTAGTCTCAAAATGGGTTCCTCGTCATCGAATTTATATTACCAAAGTATTGGAACAGAAAACACACATTTGAAGTTATCCCTACCAAACTGAATTACATATTTTTCTCACAGCGCAAAGGAAAATTTGCTTTGTAAATGTGTGCAGCAGTTATATAATTTGAGTTTTAATCAAGACACTAAATGGTAAATCTGTAGTGGCTAATCCATAGCCCCAACTTAAGTCCAATTAAATCACCCTGAGATGTCTTAGGCAGCCGCCAGAGGGCCAGTGTCGACATATCACGATACATTACCGAATTGACGCTTGTTTTCAAGGAAGAATAGTGCATTTTTACTCCTGGTATTTATAAAAATTTGGTCAAAGTATTAGTGACAGAATACGAGCTGCTGTCAAAGCCAGACAATACCCTATTAGAAATGGAATAAGCGATTGAAAATAATAATTTGGGACAGTAAGGAAATATGTAATATCACACAGTCATAGCTGTAGTATATCTAACATAACTGTAATATATTAGTACTTTGGAAGAGCACTAGTGTTGTTGCTGTAACATTACAAAATAAGAAAACGTATAACCTCAGTGATTACGGGAGATAGGCCTTCTTTTGTACATGTTATCGGGCTTGTGATTCTGCAATATTTCTTACACTAATATTAGTGTGAGATTAGTATAGACGTAGAACAACACTATTTTATGTGGTATGGCTATGAGATAGATGTAAAGTACTATCATTATGGTTGTAGAAACACTTATAGTTATAAGTAAGCACTATATTTTATCTGCGGTATTACCGTGAAATGTCACCAGAATCGGTATAAGTACACTTTTAAAACTATGGATTATGGAGCAGCACCAATATATGCGTCTCATATCATCATTATAATAGTAGAAATACTCTAGTGTAGCTATAGTGGCAGTGTGAAGTTGTGAAAAAGGTCTGGTAGCACTACTAGAACAACACTGTAATATAAATAAACCGAACTAGAGTAGCAGTGATAGAAATAGTGGAGGCGTGAGGTGATGCTAGTGAAAATTAAGAAATAAATAAGCTTAGCAGTGGTAGCATTATAAAGCTGTGGAAAGAAGAGCGTCTAGATGTGGTTACATTGGTCAGGTACACTTGTTTAGTTATAGAATAGCATACTTATATACCATTTGCCCTAGTATTGTGAGGGGCTTATACGTTACTGTTGTCATATCACTAGAATTGGTACTTAAGAACTAAAACGTTTACTAAAATAACACTGAAGTAAGTGGTATCAGTGAGTACGTTATGTTAAAAATATTTTGAAACCTCACCATGTCGTTACATGTCCTCATATCTGTCAACCGTGTGTGTCGACAACAGCCATGCAGCGAAGTTTCCATTATAAAAGGCTCTGTCGTAAGGTTATAATGTCCGAAGCACACCATTCCTCTCTGCATGGGTTTCATAATCCATCTAGTTTACGATCTGACCACATCTTTATGATCTGAGTGTATGAATATTTTGTATGGGAAAAAGGTGTTATATACAATTCCCAAAGCAATAAATTGTCATTAGCATTATGATTTCTACGTATCGCTAAACAATGTTAAAATGTAGTTCTGATACGTCTCCTCTCCACCGTGACGTTATATTGGCTGTTGTTGTCTTATGTCTAGCTGATTTGCTATTCAAAATAACGTATTTAATAGTGACAATTTTATTATAGCTGTTGAATCATACATATGGATATTATAGTCATATAGTCAAAGTGATTTAGCATATCTACGGTAGAATTTTATATTTATACTTTATTGTACCCTATTGATTATTGAACCCTTTCAAAATACTCTCCATTTCTTTGTAAAATATGAACATTTATAAAATACGCCTTTGGATATTGTCGCAAACAAATGATTAGGATGGTATATAAATATATTATAAATATGTATTTTGGACGACTGTAAATAATTCAAATGTAAGTGTAGAAGTAAGTAAAAAATTAATATATTTTGCTAATGAGAAATAATTGAATGTATATATATATATATGCCGATAAAGAAAAATATTAAAAGGTAATATTAAAATATACTTTCTTTCTGGCAGTGATCTTGAACAAACTCTCATTAAAAAAAGAGGAGCATGCATGTTTGATATTATAGATTTTATAATCATGGAATAAATAAATAAAGTGTTCAATTATGATACTTATTACTATTAAAAATAAATAATTATAATCTTTGAAGTAAACTGATAAGTAATAAACTTATTATATCTCTATTATTAATTTGTTTCTATAATTAAGCATAAAAATATTGGGTGCTGTGTACAAAGTTGTGATTATTATAAAAATATTGTAGTTGTGTTCAGTTTAATAGAAAGTTTACAGACAAGATTATGTGTAAAAGTTGTGTTACTCCAGAACAATAGAAACTCTACAGACTTAGCATCTGTGTGAAAGTTATGTTAGATTAGAACAATATAAGATCTACAAACGTAGGCTATGTGTCAAAGCAACACCAATATGATGTTATAAAATGTATTATATCATATTCTAGCTGGGGCCAAAGGAGTCATGAAGGAAAGAAAAATGTAAGTAAAGATCCTTGATGGACTATAGTCATGTTACGAATTTACTAAAACGGTATCTGTTTGTATGTAAAAACAGTAGGATGCCACAGTAAGATAGTATAGTTATTAAAACTCTAGAGTGTACAAATGTTAAAATTTATTTAAATTATTGTTTGGTATTTTATGTTTTTCTCTAACGTCAATACTTAACCCTTAAATTAGTTAAATGATTGTTTGTATTTTGTGTTTTTGTTTAACGCAGTACTTAACCCTTCATTGGTAATGGATGAAAAATTAGTTAAATGATTGTTTGTATTTTATGTTTTTATATAAGGCAGTGTTTTGCCCATCATTAGAAATGGGTAAATAATGTTGTTTGCAAGATTACCAGTCATTAAAAATGGTTGAATAATGTAGTTTGAAAGATTACCAGTCATTAAAAACGGTTGAATAATGTTGTTTGAAAGATTACCAGTCATTAAAAATGGTTGAATAATGTTGTTTGAAAGATTACCAGTCATTAAAAACGGTTGAATAATGTTGTTTGAAAGATTACCAGTCATTAAAAATGGTTGAATAACAATGCTTGCAGGATTACAAGTTCATCAGTAGTTCCTTTGTACTCAGGTTTGTCCTGAACGTAACGAAGAACTGTTTTTTTTTGCTGTGATTAATTGCTTCCTTTACTCCTAAATTTAAGAAAAGACAACAGAGTAATTTATTAGGAATTATCTCCATATGTTCGTTATTCAATTTTTATGCTTGAAATGTAAAAACAATGGAAGATTCGATATGAAGCAAGTTTTGTAACTAAGAAACTAAATTGCTGTTATGGAATGGTACTATGCATGTTATGCCCATAGAATAGTTTTTGTTACGAAATCACCCCGAGAGTTATAATACAATCTTTCAAGTGACAGTGTTATATTACTTATTTGCAATGACATCATGAACTCGGGCAGAGTTATGAAGACTTGTATCATTGGTCGCTGCTCTATCTAAAACTGGATTTCCAATTAAAACGTCAAATGTGATATAATTGTAGACTGGAACCAGTCTCAGTTTCGAATCTTCACAATCGTTATTATTTTTATCTTAGTTCTTCAACGTGATCGGTGTTTTAAAAAACTACAGTCAACAAACGTGTAATTGATATGTGATTGTTGGGACTGATTTTAGTATTTCAGGATTGATAAGTCTCTATAAAATAATATTTCGTGTTGTAGTAAGAAATTTTTGGCCATGCTACTAATTTATCTAGCGTATAGATCCATGCATATAACCATGTGGAAAATTGTTCTAATCGTTAGCACATTGATTGGATTTTTTTTTTTCGATCACGATAATCAAATTCACACTCTTTTGTTCTGATTGGTCATTTATGTTACTAAGACACGCACGATCTCCCAACTTTGAAAGCCACGTATGTATTCGCTTAAAAATGTCACAATGTGTTTCCCAGTCTATGATTTATGGTGTAAAATCACGCTATGTTTATTTCCACCGAACAAAGACGTGAAATGTATATCTGAGTAGTGTGGAAACATATAGCATTTATTATATTTTCTTATAGTGACATGTTGTTAACACCATTACAAGCCATTTATATACACGTGACATGTTGTTAACACCATTACAAGCCATTTATATACACGTGACATGTTGTTAACACCATTACAAACCACTTATATACACGTGGCATGTTGTTAACACCATTACAAGCCATTTATATACACGTGGCATGTTGTTAACACCATTACAAACCACTTATATACACGTGGCATGTTGTTAACACCATCACAAACCACTTATATACACGTGGCATGTTGTTAACACCATTACAAACCACTTATATACATGTGACATGTTGTTAACACCATTACAAACCACTTATATACACGTGGCATGTTGTTAACACCATTAAAAACTACTTATATACACATGACATGTTCTTAACACCATTATCAGCACGTGACGAAGTAAGTTTTTTATTGTTCGATGCACAATTGATCGAAAACTCGTAATATTTAGTTTTTAAGATATATTCTACAATTATTTCCGTAGTATACTGTATAGTTAGATATAATAAGTTACCCTTGAGTCAAAGTAAAAAGATATACATATTAAAAGTCGTCTATGCATATTTTTTATTCATTTACTTTCGAAGTCTGCGCTGTTTCTATGTTTATCTTGGTGAATTCCTGCTGGTCTAATACACTTTCGTTGTTTAACAGTGACCTTTATCTTTGTTTCTGTGTTTATCTTGGTGAATTCCTGCTTATCTGATACTCTTATGTTGGTTAACAATGATATTTATTTCCATTTCTGTGTTTATCTTGGCGAATTCCTGCTGATCTAATACCCTTGCGTTGGTTAACAATAACATTTATCTCTGCATGCTAGATGTCAGTTTTATCCATTCAAGCATTTTAACACGTTCTTACCCTGTGACAGTCACTTCCTATTTATTTCAACCCACGTTCTTACCCTGTGACAGTCACTTCCTACTTGTGTGAAACCCACGTTCTTACCCTGTGACAGTCACTTCCTACTTGTGTGAAACCCACGTTCCTACCCTGTGACAGTCACTTCCTACTTGTGTGAAACCCACGTTCTTACCCTGTGACAGTCACTTCCTACTTGTGTGAAACCCACATTCTTACCCTGTGACAGTCAGTTCCTACTTATTTGAAACCCACGTTCTTACCCTGTGACAGTCACTTCCTACTTGTGTGAAACCCACGTTCTTACCCTGTGACAGTCACTTCCTACTTGTGTGAAACCATGTTTAGGTTTGGAAAAAAAAATTACTAATCTCATTCGATTCCCATGATATTCTAAATAATTGTTTATGTAGTAATTCTTTGTTTTAAGGTTTTTTAAACAGTTTATGCCATATGAATTATTATCTTTGTAAAATATCTCACGTAATAAAATCCTGAAATCGAAACTTTAACAAATAAAAATGTTCGTTATTCGTTTTACGTCTAAAACATAAGAAATTTTCATTTTTGTTAGTGTTCGTGTTTAGAATAAAACAGTATACTCTTACTCATAACATTTCTCTTGTCTCTAGTTCTGAGGGTCGGGTTCAGTCAACTGAAACTACGTCGCTTCCAAACTCAAACATTCTCCCATCATTTATATCTAACGGAAGTCCGTCAATGAGAGGCGGAAATTCAGGTTTGTATTCACATGAAACTCTTCTTCATCACAGTTACAGAGAGTGATAATCGGTAGCAACTGTGATTTTTGTTTATTATCTGGTCGAATAGATTTGTTACTTGAGCATATGGCTCGAGCTGAGCTAAGCCTTTTTTACCTGCATCACGTCACTAGACCCAAACCTGAAGTTGTACTTTTACTAACCTGATCTACTGGGTAGTTTATCATAGCTGTCAAAAGTTTCAGCTTATTTCCTGATGATTTACTTAGATCGTGTGTAATCAACGAGCCAAACAACCGAAACAAAGTCGATTCTCAATCATACTACTTGTTTTTAACCTTGAAACCGGGAAACGAAAGCATAAAGCTTCATAATCTGAAGAAGGAACAAGATTTACTCGAAACACTATCAGATAAAATGAAATAACATTTAGGTAAAAGCCAAACAAGTAAACACTCTACGACTTCATCTTTCGTACTGCCTGTAATAACTTCTATCCGAATTAAATATTACCGTTTCAACTTACTATGGGAAACACGGCACCTATTGACCCCTATAAAGTGTAACAGGAGGAGAATGCTGCGGGTTAGCTTCTGTAATTACAAGTATTTAGGTGTTTCGAAGACAGTCGATGAACATGCACCTTGACACCAGAGTTCATCTACCATTTGCACCTTTAGTTATATTCCGTAATCCTAGCTTCAAGTTAGCTTCGGTAATTACAAGTACTTAGGTGTTTCGAAGACAATCGATGAATATGCACCTTGACACCAGAGTTCATCTACCATTTGCACCTTTAGTTATATTCCGTAATCCTAGCTTCAAGTTAGCTTCGGTAATTACAAGTATTTAGGTGTTTCGAAGACAATCGATGAATATGCACCTTGACGCCCGAGTTCATCTACCATTTGCACCTTTAGTTATATTCCGTAATCCTAGCTTCAAGTTAGCTTCGGTAATTACAAGTATTTAGGTGTTTCGAAGACAATTGATGAATATGCACCTTGACGCCCGAGTTCATCTACCATTTGCACCTTTAGTTATATTCCGTAATCCTAGCTTCAAGTTAGCTTCGGTAATTACAAGTATTTAGGTGTTTCGAAGACAATCGATGAATATGCACCTTGACACCAGAGTTCATCTACCATTTGCACCTTTAGTTATATTCCGTAATCCTACCTGATACTAATACAGACACAATTTTAGTAAAAGCGTCTCTTTTTTCCCCTCTAATTCAGAATTGGAACTATTTTTTGTTAATTTATAATAACATTTTAGTGACAAAACAAAGACGTTTGACGATAGTTTGAACTTGAAACAATGTAATTCCGAAAAGAAAGGTAACTTTTACTGTATCAGTGTAGATAATATAGGAATATCTGATAACCAACGTTAGCTTAGCTACAATATTCTTATTATACCAGAGATCTGTGAGAAGAAATACGTTGAATTTAGACTTCAATTATAAAACCCACAGAACATAAGTTTTCCTAATTTACGTTATTAATATATTGTTTATGTGATAACTCATTATTTATCTCACGATTAATTTATCGTTATATTTCGGCGTTTTTAATTACTATTACATATAACATAAACTCAACTTTACAAAGAAGAAGAAGTCTGAGCAGAATGCTCGAGATATTCAAATTCAACAAAATCCCCTTGGTCGTTAGTTTCTTGCCTCGTCTACAGATCGAATGATGGGCTCATTCAGATCTTACTAGCAAGATGACAGAAGTGTACAATAATGTAAATAATAAGTAAGTTAGTTTTCAATTGAGCAGGATATTATCTCGTGAAGATCCGTCAAAGACAACTGCTTTATCCCTTTTAAGTTCTTTAATTATATGGTTATAGTAACTTAAAGTGGAACTTAAAAATTAAAACTGTGCGAAATAATCACCACAACTTTTTTTTTTCGTCACTATGAAAGATAATGAATCTTGAAGTTGTACAAGTGAAATGAGTCCCAACAATATAACGTGAAGTAATCTTTCTTGTTCACAATTGGACTAAAAGTGCAAGGATACATTAAACAGAAACTTCTGGTAATCGTACGTTACGGAAGATGTGGTTGAACACAATGAAAGTTAATTTACAGCTTGTCTGTTAATTACAAGTTTACACAATGAAGCTTCTGTATCAGAGCCCTATTGTCATTTTACTTTAGTTTGTCTCGTGAGCTTTCATACATTCGTCGCCTAAGAGTTAAGACATTTTAATGACATATCATTTCCAGTAACTCTTTTAAAGAATTTAACACAAAAGGAAACAAACTTAAGTGTTTTCTGTACAAAACTGTGTCCTGCAAAATAGATACGGATCTGACGCTTCAAACTGTTTTCGAACTTTAACGATGGCGAACTTAACAAAAAACACGAATATAAGGTCTGTATGTTATTTCGGTTTGTTGTTCTAAATACCCAGTAAAGAAGGAACATAGAATATGAATTAAAGATCTTGACTGTTATATCTCGGGACAGTTACAATGCTTGTGAGCGAGGTAATATAATTAGGATGATATGTAATGGATTGTGTAGTTTATTTTTTATTCAAACTGTAAGTAAAAGAACCAATAAGGTTATTATAGAATATATTGAAAGTTACAAAACAGTTTCGGTCCATATATATATATATATATATATATATATTGTTTAAAAAATGTCGAAAATAAATATTTTGTAAACGTAGCCTTTGGTAAAAGAGACGTAACTTATAGCCTTGTTGAGTATGAAAATAACGCTAAGAACGTATCTGGTAAAATAGAGACGTAACTTACAGCCTTGTTGTGTATGAAAATATCCCTAAGAACAGAACGTATCTGATAGAATAGAGACGTAACTTATAGCCTTGTTGTGTATGAAAATATCACTAAGAACCGAACGTATCTGGTAAAACAGACCTAACTTATAGCCTTGTTGTGTATGAAAATATCCCTAAGAACAGAACGTATCTGATAAAATAGAGACGTAACGTATAGCCTTGTTGTGTATGAAAATATCCCTATGAACAGAACGTATCTGATAAAATAGAGACGTAACGTATAGCCTTGTTGAGTATGAATATAACCCTAAGAACAGAACGTATCTGATAAAATAGAGACGTAACTTACAGCCTTGTTGTGTATGAAAATATCCCTAAGAACAGAACGTATCTGATAAAATAGAGACGTAACGTATAGCCTTGTTGAGTATGAATATAACCCTAAGAACAGAACGTACCTGGTAAAATAGAGACCTAACTTATAGCCTTGTTGTGTATGAAAATAACCCTAAGAACCGAACGTATCTGGTAAAAGAGACGTAACTTATAGCCTTGTTGTGTATGAAAATAACCCTAAGAACAGAACGTATCTGGTAAAATAGAGACGTAACGTATAGCCTTGTTGTGTATGAAAATAACCCTAAGAAAAGAACGTATCTGATAAAATAGAGACGTAACGTATAGCCTTGTTGTGTATGAAAATAACCCTAAGAACAGAACGTATCTGATAGAATAGAGACGTAACGTATAGCCTTGTTGTGTATGAAAATAACCCTAAAAACACAACGTATCTGGTAAAAGAGAAACGTAACGTATAGCCTTGTTGTGTACGAAAATATCCCTAAGAACAGAACGTATCTGATAAAATAGAGACGTAACTTATAGCCTTGTTGTGTACGAAAATAACCCTAAGAACAGAACGTATCTGGTAAAATAGAGACGTAACTAATAGCCTTGTTGTGTATGAAAATATCCCTAAGAACAGAACGTATCTGATAAAATAGAGACGTAACTTATAGCCTTGTTGTGTACGAAAATATCCCTAAGAACAGAACGTATCTGATAAAATAGAGACCTAACTTATAGCCTTGTTATGTATGAAAATATCCCTAAGAACAGAACGTATCTGATAAAATAGAGACCTAACTTATAGCCTTGTTGTGTATGAAAATATCCCTAAGAACAGAACGTACCTGGTAAAATAGAGACCTAACTTATAGCCTTGTTGTGTATGAAAATATCCCTAAGAACAGAACGTACCTGGTAAAATAGAGACCTAACTTATAGCCTTGTTGTGTATGAAAATATCCCTAAGAACAGAACGTATCTGATAAAATAGAGACGTAACGTATAGCCTTGTTGTGTATGAAAATACCCCAAAGAACCGAACGTATCTGGTAAAATAGAGACGTAATTTATAGCCTTGCTACGTATGGAAATAATTCCAATAACAGGACATACCTCGTATTTCACTACTATTGTTATTTTTACTTTAATACCCCAAGATATTTTCTTACTTCCGTAGTGATGTAAACGTTTCTATTGTATGCATAAAGAGAAATAAAGAAACCTTATTGCCAACTTTGCCAGAACGTGAGATATATGTAAGGTCACTTATGTTAATATACATGTAAATAATTTATAAGAATACATGCGCCTTATATATATATTGCCTTTTACACTTTAATAGCCATTTAATATACGTTTCTTTATCGCTTATTATAATATCTCAAAAACCCATTCTAACGTGTTAGTTGTTCCTATTTTGTACAATGTAAACGTGAAGGCAAATGTATGAATTATTTTTCCGTTCTTGTTGTGACTATCAGTATTACTCAAATACTTTTCCAATGTTATTTTAGTGTGTGTTTGTGTGCTGAACCGGTTACGGTAACGTTAAGTACTACTTAATTCATTTGTAGAAACTTTTAAGTAAGTGATATGGACTTTTTGTTTCTGTTTGTAACTACTGTGAAAATGTTCTGGGCTTACCTCTGCTAAAGCCCTATAAAAAAAAGAATACACGTCATATTTTGTAAAATCAATATTAATAATGATTAACAAATATATATATAGAGACTTAATATTTATCCATGTATTTTCTTTTGAGTTGGCAAAAAGATCATAGATTCGCATCAATATGCATATTATAAAAAAATAAATATTTTCTAAGAGTAAAAGAACCATCTGAGGAACACGTTACGTTCCAAACTACCATATGCATGGTTGACACACACATTTTTGGGCCTTT